TTGCAGAGCATACATACTAGCTCGAATGGGGACGTATAATCCACTTTCATTCAACTCGCGCTCCCAACGTGTCAATACGTAGTTGGTCATTCTTGTCCATCACTTATCTCCAGAATAATGGACCCAGACATAACATCTAAACTTCTTGATAGGGAGCTCTCTTCCTAATTTATTTGCATATTGTACTCTCTTTAGTACATATCTACCTATTGTCACAGAAAACAAAATAGAAAATTATATTATCAAAAGCAAGAAAACCAAGTGACCACGATCGACTCCATGTGATCGCTATGGTATAGGCTTTAAATAAATCCCTTGAAAAAATTTTGAACAAAAAAATTTCTCTCCTTTTCCTCTATTTTATCTATTTTAACTAAGACTTATGAGCAAATATGCAAACATCTACATGAAGTCCGCTTTCCTCTTCTCTCCACTCTGCGCAATTTCGTTTGATGCCAATTTTACTTGGGAAATGGTAACACTGAGAGGTCAGTTGCAATTTTCGAAATTTTATATGAATTTTGTGTCTTTATACATATTTGGGTGAATAGTTATTTGGTAATTGAGGTAGCAAGTTCAACATTCTGATTAAGTTTGCATTTTGAAAATAATTCCTATCATTAAAGTTTGGGTAAACTGAAATATTACTTTTTAGGGGTTCGAGGTCATACAAAGTTCAAAAGCAATAAAATTAGGTTAGCGAAGTTAAAGAGGGTGAAACTTGGGGCTATTATTTGAGCAAACTTTAACTTGCGGGGTATCAAAGCTGAAGTTGGTTAAACTTTAGGGTGTAAACTGACTCTAAAATAAAATAAAATAGAAGAATTTTCCACATAAATAGGAAAAAGATGGGAAAAACTATATCTGTTTGTATTTGTAGCGGACTGTTACATTCATCTCCACTCCATATTGTGGATCTTGATCAGGTTATAACGGGTACCATGTTAAATAAAGGAAGAAGCAAAGAAACAGTTACATGTTTTATAAGGTAATTCATAATTTAGAACGTCGTTTTATAAGTGCAGATACAATTGTAATGAGTTTAATATTTAAAATTTCTTTAATAATTAAATTCATAAACCGTAAAAGAGAATGGTGGCGAGGGATTGATGGTAAAAATACCGGAAGTCTGAACCACACTCATTCAGCCACTGTGCGGGTGGACAAGAAAGGGCTTTGGGATCCTTCACTGAATCTCCGAAGGGTGGACAAGAAAGGGCTTTGGGATCCTTCACTGAATCTCCGAAAAGGTACTGTGTTTTTTTCAATGGTTGTGTTGAAGCCTCGTCCCGTGTCAAAGGAGCGTCTGTAATCCATCGACGTAAAGTACGGCAATCTCCTTATTACACAAGCCTACGGACGTCCTCCGGACAGTCCGTAGAAAATTAGGGTGCCCCTTCAATTAAAGGAATTCCCTCATAACGAGAGTGTGTGGCACTACTCTGACCAGTGACTTCTCCATCCGGGAAGATCACAGAAGGAAAATGGACTGAAAAGGAAAATAGATGGTTGGAATCTATTTTAAAATGATGTCCTAAAGCTAGATAAGGGGTAGAACTCGTCTCGTGAATCCACGATATAGAGTCACCACCTTACAAGTAGGCGAAACGATTTCAATTGGTACACGCATGAAAGGCAATATACATCGCCGCGTGCGAACACTACGGCAATATATACGACCTTTAATGCGAAACAATATAAAATCGTCCCTATTGCCTTTAGATGTGTTTTGTCTAAGCAAAACAGCATCTGTCAGCGTCGATCCTCTCAAAGGAGAATACTAGCTCTTCCCGAATGCCTCTCAAAGGACGACAAACGAGGATATATATATGGTTCATAAAATACAGAATGTAAATCAACAAAAAAAGTGGGAAAATGTACTTCCATATGAAGCGACAGCGGGGTCTACCCTCTCGGTAGGCTGCACGAGAAGCCGATCTACCTCGGGGAACGCGAGATCTCTTAGGAGACATGCTAAAGAGGTGATTTTTATCGGAAATCCTACAAAAAATTAGGGTTTTTAGGGTTATAATTAAACAAAATCATGGAGATGGCACCTGGAGATTCGGATTTCACCAAAGATCATGAAAAATGCAAACTTTAATAAAAAAAAAGTGAGTGAGAGGAGATCAAACCTTCAAAGAACAAGCCAAAACCCTAAGAACCTACGAGCAAAATCCAACAAAATCCGAAGAAGAGGGAAGGAAATGGGCTTAAAGACTCTGGAAGAGGTTTGGAGGAGTTTTGAATTGGAAGAGGCGGCCAAAGATAACAAAAAATGCCCAAAAGGTCGGGTTTTAAAGCCCCCAACGAAGGGACTGTTCGCCTTCGTGTGTAACAGTCGTGACTGTCTCGCATTGTCGAAACAGTCGTGACTGTCTCGCATTGCCGAGTCACTGTCTCGCACTTCCGAGACAGTCACAACTGTCTCGAAAGAAGGAACGACCCCTACACTTCCGAGACAGTTAAAACTATCTTGGAAGAAGGGTCAACCTAGCAAGTCAACAATTGTATTCGTGAAGCATTCTCGACCCATTTTCAGCACATTTGAACACTGATGAGTATACGAGTATAAACTACATCTCCTTGAACCTCCCAACGGGTACACGAGGTTAAACTGTTTTCCGAACACTCCGAGGAGTACACGAGTATAGACTGATTCTCCACGCTCCAACACCTAAAGAGCCTAAACTGTGTAGACTCCAATTAACATATGAGTATAAACTGTGTTTCCATCGCGATGGAGGTCGACGCCAATCAACGCGTCCATAACGTTGCCAAAATAAGGTGCAGATCAATTCCAAATCAAAAGACAATCCTTGCTAATTCATTCTGGACAAGATGAGCAGTTCATCGTTGATCCAACAACACGAGCTAAATCCAACAATCAACACAACTTCAGTTCATGATTTCGATAACGGTCAAGCGATAAACGTAGCACCGGGAAAATTTTAGCTATTCGACAAAAAAAACTGAATAGACTAAAATACGAAGAAGTCGACGAATCAAAGTAGGAGTGTATCATATCCAAAGTATTCCAGACTCCTCTATAAAAGATCGAGACTGAAATACTTTGGAGGGGATATCTGTAGGCGTCAAAAATTACCTATAGATAATCGTACGTAGCTCAAGACGTAGAGAAGACGATAAACATCATCATCTAAGTTGCAAAGGATCATCCAAAGCTAAAGATCAACTTGAGAATGCACAAGAAACGCATCACACAAGTTTTGAGGTGCAAAACACATCCCAAAAGCATGAAAGGGAACCAACAGTTTCCTAGACAGTTACAACTGTCTCGGAAACTTCCGAGACACTTACAACTGTCTCGAAAATTCCGAGACACTTATAACTGTCTCGGAAAATTCTGAGACACAACTGTCTCGGAAGTTAAGAAGAAAATTGTAGTTTTTTGAGATTTGTGCACGTCACGTGGCCCCATAACTGCCAAAGATCGTGTTTGAACATGGGGAAGACGTTACCAGCGAAAATTCTTATGTCTTTTATAGAGCCAAAAAGTTTAACTACGAGCTCTACTATGTTGCTCTCACAACAACAAAATCTACTTAGTAGATGTTGATATTCCAGATGAGTTATGTCTTATATACAATACAATTGTACTAGGAAAATGAGTTATAATATTATTTTTTATTCACATCGCTTGGGGTAAGATTCGATAGAGACCTTGCATTAAAGAAAAAAAAAATTTTATATTTAGAGCACATAAGGAAATATATCATAATCTTCCCGCTCAAATTTCACAAGATAATAATTCTTCATGCTTTCAGTTTTAATGATACAGAGAACGAGTTATAAAATTGAATGAGAATATTAAATTAAATAATATAAATATGAGTGAAATCACAGCTAAAAGTTAACGTGAATATGAGTTAAACCACAACTAAAAGTTTAACAGACATATATTGCAAGTAAATTCATATACAAAATTTCTTTACGAATTGAATGATCACCCATCTTTTGAAGATTTCAAGATACTATTAAATAGAGATGTTGTAATAGATTAATGTGTTTATAACTCACAAATAGTAGATCATGTGACAACGGTTTGGGTTGAAGGAAACAATAATAATATTTTATTTGAGAGAGAAATCATTGAGTTGATCAATCCCACAAAAAACTTTATTTTTTATATTTTTACTCTATTTTTATTAATTTAAATAATCATGATATTCAATCACGTACATTACACGTGCATCACACGTGCATCTCAACTAGTAATCTTAAAAATTCGAAGTTCAACGTACGACATTGATTTGGTAAGTAAAATAAAGGTCAAGATATGACAAGTTAAGAGGAAAATATACACCAATGGAACAAGCATTGTAAGAGAGCATCTCGTGGACTTTCATCTACGCTAGAAGAGAGCAGCAACGGCGCCAATCTTTTAAGCATTATCTTTGCGGAGGAATATAAAGACAAAAACAAAAGCCACGGAAAAAAGGAGTCGAAAATAATGCGGCGAAAAAGAACTTGCAAAAAAGAAAACAGACACAACATAGTAAGACCGCCGAAAAATCAGTGGAAACAAAAGGAGTGGGGTGTTTTGGTCGTAAAAACATTTGCATGCTTATTACTTGGGTTGGGTTTCCGAGATGTTTAGTGTGTCCAAGAGGTGTGTTCCTTCCTTATGCATATGTCGCTGAAAGAGTTGGGTGTTGTCATTGTAATATTTCAGGAATTGGGGAGTGACAATATTGAGAAGAATATTTCATCAAGAGGAAGAGCCACGGTGATTAATAGAGATAAGATGCAGAGTAGGGAGTGAGGCTGGTCTATGATAAGAGTAAATTAGAATTCATAACATACATATGGGTAGCGCGCATTGATTCTATGTTGGTGTAAAGACTCGCCTGACAAAACGAGCTGCCGACTCACAAACAATAGACCCCACGCCCACCTGATGTGACAAGTGGGGGGTGTGCCTGGATTCTATTGCAAGTCAAAAGAAGAGAAAATAAGACTTTACATGCAGCACATACCAAGTCACAAAAGTCCTCCTCGAGGAGGAACAAGAGGAAGTGGAGCCTTTCCCGGTCTGGGCTCAGTTCACACTCTATCCGTAGTTTTCGGTCCACCGTCTTGAAATCCTAAAAGGGTTGGACAATGATTCATGAAAAGTTAGATCGACATGTAACAAACCCATTAGTTAGATGTGGTGTTGCCGAGGAAGATGCAAACCTCGATTTCGAGGCGAATAGTCATTAACGGATCATCCTCAACTTCAATCTCCTTAAGTTTAGTATCAATTGCTGCCTACAACGACAACCTTCTATTTGAGTAACATAAAATTAAGTGAGCTTAAGTGAGTACCAGTAACTACCTCGGGAGTCCAATATTTGGAAAAGATCCTCTCCATGCTGAAATGTTCTGTCGCTTCATCAATCAATTTGGAGACCTGCAAAAAAAAAAAGGATTTTTCGTTTCCCATAAATTAGCGGGATCAATAGTTGATGGATCATGTCGATATGAAATATTTAAAACTGACCGTTACCTTCTGGTCAGGTGGGTCATGGTGCCAGCGCCGGAAGGATTTTTCAATGTGACGTGAATATTCCGTTTGGCGATCGCCTTCCGCGTCCTCAAGCCAACAATTTAGATGTTCCAGGGAACGGTATTTCCGGTTCAGATAAATAGTTTTGGCGTACATCTTTCTGAGTTCTTCCTGAATCTGCATAGCCTCCTTAAATCGTTAATAATAACAACAACAACAACAACGATAAGTTAATAGCAATAACAAAAGTAACATATCTGAGCCCAATAGAAGGGTGAACGGGGGAAAAGAAAGATGCACACCTCGCCTTTCCTGCCTTCCATGTCGTCTCCCTCAAGCACCGCCGCCAAAGATGAGATAGGGTTAGGGGATACCCGCTCAGGGGCCGGGGTTGGGGAAAGAGATTTAGGGGGTGTTTGTTTTGCATCCCAAAATTTATGGATATGGATTTCACCTTAAATTTTTACATGTTTTGGGATCTCTAATATTTTATTTGTTTCATCAATATTTTGGGATTTGGAATACCAAAATTTGTAATATTTTATTTGTTTCATCAATATTTTGGGATTTGGAATACCAAAATTTATAATATTTTGTTTGTTTCATCAATATTTTAGGATTTGAAATACTATAAATTATATATTATAATATTATTAATAGTATTTTACATGAACATTAATATTATTATAATTATTAATGATATTTGGGGATTTTGAATACTACCCATGGAACCAGTGCTTATTGGGTCTTCTATAATATGATCTAATATTATCTATTATATATATAATATTATAGTGGTATAATAATATATAGTATTATATATATATATATATATAGTATAATATATATATAATACTTATATATAATATATATATATATATTATATATATATATATATATATAGTATAATATCTATATTAATATATATTAAAATATATATATAATGCGACACGTAATTTCTACAGCATGAACAAGATTATTGGTCCTATATATATATATATATGATATATATATATATATTATAGTATATATATTGATATTATATATATATACTTATAAAATATATTATGACTTAATATAATTATATTATATATTATATATAATAATAATCTATTATATATATAAAATATATAATATTATATATACATATGTAATATATTATATGTATATAAGGCTACATTGTAATTTACTGGCAAGCATTACTACTACAGCATTGGAACAGTGATATATGAATATATAAATTATCTATATTATATATATAGTATCATATATATTATTTTATTATATAATATATATATATAGGATGAGATTATATATATAATATATATATATATATAATTATATCATTATATAGTATAATATATATATATATTCTCAGTATTATATAGAATTTATATTATATTATCAATAATTATAATATAGTTAAGTATTGACTGACGATATAATTATTATATATATAAATTTATTATATATTAAAATAAATTAATATATATAATATATATGTCAATATTATATATATATACACATATTATGATAAGTATATATATATATATATATACTATATATAATATATAATATATATATATATACTATATAATTAAGAGAAAAATATGGTATACTTGTACACTAAGATTTGGTAGTGATGTGGAGCGACATCTTGTCCCATAACATCACCCTAGAAGATGGAGGCCTACCTAACTCAAGGGTGTGATGTATGGACAGAGATGTGTCCAGACTAACTACCAGATCTTGGCCCAAGTGTTACCCATATTTCATATAGTATATATTTATATATATAAGTTAATATATATATATATATAATATATATTATAGTATATATAGCAGTATATATCATAATTATATAGACTACTATATACGTATATATAATTATTAGTTATTTTTATTAATTACTATATATTATATTATTATTTATATATAATATTATATAATATATATATAGGTCTATAATAGTATATATATATACGATATTATTTATATATAAATTAAATATTATATATACAATTATTATATTATATATATAGTACTTATATATTATCTTATTATATTAATATATATATATATAAATATGATATATTATATATAATATATTATATATAAATTATATATATTCATATATATTATTTTATTATAACATTTAATAATTATATATATAATGATTTTATTATATTGGTAAAATAATATATATAATATATATTGTAATATATATATAGCATATCACTACTCACCCTATAAAGATAGTTATTATAATATATTATATATAATAATATTATAAATTTATATAATATTATATATGTTATAATAGTATAATATAATATAATATTATCATAATATATATAATATATGTAATATATACTATATATATATGTATAATTATTATCATATAATTTATTATTACCGTATATATTTATATAATATATATATAATAAATTATATAAATTATATATAAAATAATATATATAATTATTATATAATATATAATCTATATAAATATTAATGTAATATATAATATGGGCTTAGTAATTTAGTACTGGCAGCATTTATGGCAGCATTGAACAGTGATCTATAATACACTAAAAAAATAAAAATCAGAGTATATATATATTATAGAATAGTTATATATTATATAATAATATTAATATATATATTATATATATATATACTTTATATAATATATAATAATAGGCTATATATATAATATGAGTAATAACATATATATAAATGATATGTTATATATATTATATAATTATATAATATATATAATAATATATCTAATATTGAATATATAATATAATACCATATAGTAATATTATACTGTAATATATATAATGATACAGTAATTTACTACATATTTTACTACAGCATGATCACGTGATAATTTACTCAGCATTTACTTAAAGCATAGAAAGCAGTGATTCTTGGTCGCTCCTATAATTTAGAGGGAAATAGATGTATTAATCTTAATATTAATTCTTATATTTATCAAGCATTAATACATCAATATCCAACTGACATCCTCTCTCATTAAGTGATTTCAAAATTCTAAAATATAATAGTTTTTATTACTTTGGGGATTCAATATCAAAATTGGTTTGCAACACCAACGTTTATGGAATTCTAAAACCGAAAAACTGTTGTACTCCACCTTATATCCCAAAAAGAAGTTGAAAACCAAAAGAGAGGATTTCATAAAGTGCTAAAAATATATTATTTGTTTAAATGTTAGGAATCTTGCAATATCCAAAAAAAAATTTGAAACAAACAGAAGTTTATCGGAATTAGCCAAAAAGCCAAAAAAAGCACTTTTTACATCCCAAAACTTGAAATCCACCCTATATCCCAAAAAAAAATGAAACAAACACCCCCTTAAAGTGGGGGGTGGCAATTTATCGGAGCTGACCCGACCCGAGCCGACTAGTCGGGTCACAAACACGTTTAACCGGGTTATAGTCGGGTCAACCCGTTTAACTTTACAACCTATTTACCATTCATCTTCAACGTTCAAAATTCAACACTAACAAAAATACGGTAAACAAAACAATATCCATAAATTACATTCAACACCTGCAATTTACATAAACAAGACAAAACCCGTACATTACATACAGCTTTTGTAATTTTCAAAAAATGCCCTAAAACTTTTTGATTTACAGAAAACACCCTCAATGGCTCTAAAAATTGAAAATACATCCTCAATAGTTCAAAACTTTACTGCATAAGTACCAAGGATTTAAAAACTCGCAAAAGCAATACAACACCACGTAAGCTTTGAGCAGTACCATGAACATATACCCCATAAATATCAAAACCTCCAAACGTTATAAAATCTAGAACTTAGAAGCGACACGATAAAACTTTTAAAATTTCCCAAAAAACACCCTACTGTTTCAAAAGTTGTAAAAAACAACAACCATTAAAGTTAAATATCATAGAACGCACACCAGAAAATTTGCAAGAAAACACCCTAATACTTTGCATAACTGAGAATACGCCCTCATAAGGTCAAACTTTAACTGAAACATGCCCCAGAAATATCAAAACTTACAAACAGTACAAAATCTATGGTTATAAACAGCAGGTGAAATTTTTAACAGTTGCAGGAAAATGCCTAAACTTTGACCAATTGCAAATATACACCCCTAAAAAAATCAAAGCTTTACAGAAACATGCCCCCAGAAATATCAAAACCTACAAAATGTTCTAAGACATATATTATAAAGAGCCACTGTGAAAATCTTTGAAATTTGAAAAAAAAAAAACACAATTTTTTTGAAAAATTTGCAAGATGTACCTAAAAGTTAAATTTAGGGAATCGGCCCACACAAAAAGTACAAAATCTATAAGTATAAGCATCATCTTAATAATTTTGGAATTAGCAATAAAAACACTCTAAGACTATAACCGAGAAATGCACGGGGATGACCGAAAATAAGTCACCGCTTCCCACTATTCTCTCGGCGCGCTAAAGCCGCACTGCTGTTGTCACTCACGCGAGGTGGCATGACCAAGGCTTTGGAGATAGGCCAGTTGCATGGGCATGAATCCGAAAGAGAGAGGAGGCTACAGAGGTGAGCTCTTGGCTAGGGGAAAACTCTGATCCTATTGTGCGCGATGTAAAAGGCGAGCAGATCGTTGTACTCGGTAAATCGTATTCTTGTAGATGAACTCATTAATAAGAAGTAGGGAGTCGATCTTCAACGATTACCGTTCTATGTAGCGATGAGAGAGTCTCTGAGATCGCCAAATCTTTGGACAAAGGCCTTGAAGATAGTCATATTAGTTCTTGTCGTTAAAGAGGACGGTCGATGCAGCAAGAGAGTCTGTGTTGCTTTAACATGATTGTGGAGGTAGGCCGTGACAGATCTCACTTTTCGTCAATAAGGTTCGTAAAGTCTTCATGAAGAGTCAAGATACAGGAAGCAGAGCATACACTTTGTTCTAAGGCAGCCCAAAATCGGGCGATGAGGAAGGTATTGATGGTGAGGTTAGCGATGGATTCGACAACAAGAGAGGAGGGTCAGAGTTAAACACATAACGGGATATGGCAATTGTATGAGTACAGAAGAAGCAGGTGTCAAAGGGGAAGCCAGGCGGCCTAGGGTGGCGTAGGACAGCGGTAGGCTGCTGGATGCTAGGGCTCATGCCAACGAAAAAATGAGATAAGTTGTTTGCTCTGATGACCAAAGTTGGAATTTGATCAATTATCTCATTAAAAATACACTTGATTTGCAAGGTTCTATATGTTGATGTACACACCTAGTCCTATAATGGTAAATACATCAAAGAAATGACTCATTACAATGGATATGTATCTAATCCGCAACCCCCCCCCCAATCTAATTACTTATCTCAATAGGTGCTCCGTGATCCCTAAGTGCCTATACGCCTCCAATAGGCGGTG